TCCCGATGGGGAGCGGAGAATCCAATAGGAAGCTGAGAGACCGGGGCTGGAGCCGCCTTGGAGCTCGACGTTACCTACGACCGCGACGCCTGGGCAGGCCCTCTGATACGACCAATCGGCACACGGCATCTGCCTCGATCGCAGAAGGCGGAGCTTGTTAAATTGAATTGGAGGCCTGGAATAGGACCCGGAAGTTAAATTTACCGGGAAGCTTGACATCCGAACACTAAGGAAGTAACTGCTGTACCTCCAGTTCCTGGACCTGGGCAGGGGCTTTCAGTCTCCTCCCACCATCCGTATCTGAATTCAGCTTAATATCGGCAGTCTGGTCCAAAGCGCTTTAGACCCCAACTTGGCTACTTGACAGGAACTTTATGGCTGCAGAAGAAGCCTCTTCGACCTGTAGGTGCTTTGACTCCTCTTGAATACCCCCAAAACCTTAGTGCTTATTAATATCTGAGATGATAAATTTTTGCAATCTTCGCCTCCCTCTCTCCTCCCCCCAAAAAGCCTTGGCGACATACCTGCTCTATTCTAAGCCCATCAGGTTGTGAGATTCTGCCAGGAGAGCCTTCATAAGCCTTTTCAGTGCATAGTTTAGCTCTGACATTCACTTATTCATAGAATTGTTGAGCATCCAAGACCTAGGAACTAAACTAACAGCAACCAAAAGGATAACATATCCTAGTATGGGTTATGTTACAGAGAAAGAACAGCATGAATTAACTTAATCTTCAACTCCTCTCTTAGAAGTGTCACTCTGGGATAAAGAAATGGGAGAAAATTGAATCTGAATTTTTACTGTGTTTTTATTTTTATTTTTTTGAGAGGTTTCTGCTATAGGGCTCATGCACTCGCCAGAAAGATAGAAACAGACAAGAGAGACAGAAAGCGAGAAATCATCCCGCAAGGGGGATGGCCATGCCATAATCCCTTCTCCTCCATTCTCCTCTCGGGACCTTGGGCACGCATGCACACGCGCCAGTGTGAGTTTAAGCCACCGCGTCTGGGACTCGAACCGCATGGGTCAACTACGTGGGAGTACAGTGACAGCCATTATGCCATCTGCTGGTCCCTTTACTGTGTACTTTGACTTCATACTATCAATCTGAAGACAAAATAATTGCAAAGAAATATTTTTTTTTCAATAGAGAGGCTTTTGCTATAGGGAATTTGTGATCGCCAGAGAGACAGAAAAAGAAAGTGAGAAATCACACCCCGCCCAGAGGGGATGGTCACACCATCCCTTCTCCTTTGTTCTCCTCTCAGGATTGTGGACACGCATGCACACACATCCAGCGTGTTTTAAGTTGCCAAGTCCGGGACTCCATCTGTAGTCACCAGCGTGGAAGTTCAATGACATAACCATTACACCATCTGCTGACCCCAGAATTTGCAAAGAAATCTTGAATTTTACTTGGTAGGTTTGTTTTGGTACTATAATGAGATAATTATTCTGAAAAGAGTAAGTTAATAAACATATTGATGTAGCTGGAAGTCAAGGTTCTTAACTGTGTGAATATAGAATCTAAAATGGAGAAAAGAGAGGAAAGAACCATATGATTGACTGAAGTTAGAGGAACAATCAAAAGAATTAAGAGGGGCAGGTAGGTGGTGTGGAGGTTAAGGCATTGGACTCTAGCATGGTTGACAGCAGCTTGAGTCCTAGACCTGGCAGCTTGCTTTGTCACTTTCTCTCTCTTTCTCTGTCTCTCTCTGGTCAAATTAAAAAATATATATATATATATGTACATA